ACTGAATGAATTGATGAATGAAATAAAAATAACTGTCGATGAATTTTTAAACGAACAAAAGTAGCTGCATAAAGAGTGCTCCATTTGTGTCAATTAGTTCACTAGTATTGCATAAAGCTTCAATCAAGAATGATTAAACTCTCGAAACGGTTTGTGAATTGATCAAATCGATTTGCTTTGAATAGTCACATGGTCATCTATAGCCACTAACTCGGGCATTTCGTTCCAACCGGATAGAAACCAGCCAGTCCAGGTTCAATATTCCAACCCACACCAACTGGAATCCCTTCGAGCAGTTTACGTCCCGTTTGAATGTCAGCAACTTGCGGTGATGTATAGATGACCGTCGGTACCTCGGTGACCATTGAAAGGCCCAATTGTCGCGACAAATGCGCACCAATATTCGTTAGTGGTGGATCTAACTGCAAAAATCATCGGACAACCATGCTCTTTTACAGAATCACTATCTGGTAGGTCCGCTTTACGATGTGTAAATTGATCGGATTACAATGTGGAAAAATTGATTTTCGTTCCTGACCCTGCATCGACGCCTGCTTGTACCTTTCGAACCTTCATTCATTTTTTATCGGATAGGATGTTGTGATATCCAGTAGTGTGACAAACGGAACGGAGGATTCGAGATTGGAATGACTCGATGGAAGTAAAAGAATTTGTTTGAATAGTTTGATGAAACCAGTGATCGGAATGAAACTCACAAGGAAATCGTCAATTCGTTCACGTCTCCTTATTGAACTCGGCATATTCAAATCAAACGGACTGAAAGAGTTCTGCGTTGACTTTTAGTTATGAAATGAGAGCGGTTGATGACTAATTTGATGTTTATGAAAGGTTCGCATACCAAATTTACCTATATTTTTGCTGCTATGATGGAAAAGTTTACAAGTGTGATCATTGTTTTCAATCACAATGAACATCGATTGGCGCACCAAATTGTTACTGAATTCTTTTATGAGTACGACTTAAATTGCAGCAATGAATCACATTTGAGGCCGGTTTGAAGTGCAGTTGACTTTGAGAGAAAAGCCGAACACGTATCTAAATTTCACTGTGGAAACCAGCTTACACGTATTCGCCGTTTTGGTTGAATGCATTCTTCGTCCAGTCGGGGAAAACGTCCGTTACAGTTTCACCACGTCGAATAAGAACTACTCGTGCATCCTCTACAAAAACGCTTCGTCTTATCTAGAGTAATTGGGAAAAGGCATTCACGTGGCAATCAAATGAACCGTGATAAATGAAAGTATTTTGAACTGACGGTCTCGAATTTGTTTCAAGCGAAGATTCTCAATCATTTGCGCGATAATACTGCATGCGAATATTTCGTAATCATCCTTCTGTGTTACATCCGTTGTGGTTGTGTTTCCCTGTAATGTGCATTCTCAAAACCGAATATCACAAAAGGCCTGGTGCCTTCATTGCAAGACGTGATCAAGATCATATCATAACGTCCACCAGCTGATTACTTTCAATAGGACAGTCAAGGAACTGATAAATAGAGTAATACTTACCGCAGGTGAATTGCCGCTAACTTGTTTACTCGGATTAACATTAACCGTATCGCTAGCGTGTGATGACGAGGACACATTTGAGGATGGAACTTCCGCCGATGTCTTAAGCGATGATTGGGTTGTAGTTGTACTTGAGTCTGAATTTGTCGAACATTAAAATATAATCTGAACGAACGATTTTGCCGTTATGATCGAGACATAAACTGGTAGAATCGGAATGATCCTAGGAAATTCAATGATGTGTTCATACAGAAAGACTACGACAAATAATGAGTCTCTGAAACAGATAGAAGCTTGTTGTGAATAATCGTGATTGCAATGGCTATGAATAGCAGAAACTTGCAAGTGTTTGAGTATAGTGATGAAGAGGTCATATTTGAGGAATCCGTCGTATATGTTGACGTATCCGATGCAGAGCTTCGCGTTGAAAATGTTTGAGAATACGCACTCGATGACTCACCTGAAATAGCACATTCAATTGCAAGCATATCAACACACCTAGCGCTATTTCCATCCGAATCTATACAATTTATACAGTAGTTTCAGTTAGTTACTTGTAAATTGCTCTGCCATGAGCAATACTCGAACATGACACTTATAGCGATGCATCGAGAATACATCATGCTAAAAGTCTTTGTACGATTTTTTTTTCTTTTTCGAGATGTTTTAATCATCGTCTCAGTTTTTTCCTCGAATATTCAGTCAGCTATTACTCAATCAGTGTTAATGTTATTAAGGGATTTCGTCATTCTTTCACAACTGAGCTCGGGCCGTTCCTTTAATTTACTACCACGCGCTCTCTTTGCTCACATGCCAGACAAATGCTCGTGCAATACAGATGAGAGATCGGAGATAGACCAATAAATATTGTCATGTCAATAAACTAATGAAAAATATCGATGCGCGACATTAAGCACCATTAATAAGGCGAATGCTGCAATAAGCATAAAAGTTTGATTCCAGTACGCAGTCTTTTGCATTCTTGAAATTAATCGTTTCCATGTATCAGTTCGGTCTTCTGACACTTGTCATAAGAGAAAACGAACATCCACATCAACCATTTTCAATTACGATGAACCCTCGAACTTACTCATAATTTGCGTCGAAACAAAAATTGCCTACGAAAACAAACCGACCGCCCAAAACGATCTTCAGTCTGACAAACAGCGCAGCTGAAGGAATCACAAGGATCGGTGAACTGAGACAGAGGAAAATTTGAATCGGATGAAAATTGACATGTACGCAATCGGCGGAAGATTGCAAATTTGCACATTCAAAAAACTTGGAATATGAAGTTCGAAATCGAAAATTTCAGATCATTATGAAGTGACGGTAGGACTGAATTTGTGATTCTGTTGCTGATGAAACTAGAATATCGTGGAATTGAATGACTTGTTACTTGGTTGAGATCAAGCTCGGAATCACACGGCAATTTTCGAACGATTTTTTCATCCATTGCTAAGTTCTTCTGAAAAAAATTTTCGAAACATTCGCTATGAACTTGC